AGACCTACTAGACCTACCTTCATGAAAATTTGACCAATTCTTCATCTTGTCAATACAAGTAAAATGTTTTTTGAATTTTAAAATCGGACGCTCCGTTCTCTTAAAAACTGAGGTACCGTTTTTGGCACTTTTTGCCCCATATCTTCGGAACGGCTAGACCTGCCTCCGCCAAAAACTAATCAGCACGTCTCCTTATCAATACGAATCGAATGTTTTTTTGAATTATTCGAATCGCTTCATCCGTGTTCCCGAAATCGTCGACGAAAATTTGTATCCGCACACACATACATACACGCACACACACACACTCTCACACACACATACATTCATTTTTTCTAAGGTATGCCAAAATATTCAGAAACCTCTGAAACGTAAAGATATTTAAAAATTTTCATTTTCGATTTTTTTGCGATTACTATAACTTACCCTACGGGAAGTTAACTACTCATTTTCTCAATTTTTGATAAATTTTTTAAATTAAACTACTTGTCGTAAGGCCGTAATATTTCAGTAAGTTCTATAAGACCATGATATATATATTGCCAAAAAAAGTTCCATAAAAATCGTCCTAATTTTTTTTTTCAACAGTTAATTACAAGAAAACGGCTCAGTAGTTTTCACCCAAAACTAATCAGTATCATTACCAACTAATATCTTTCGAAGAGTTTTTGATTTTTAAAACCGATTTGGTAGTGCTTAAGCTTAAATGTGGACGAAAAATTTCACACTTTTTTCCATAAAACAAAGAAACGGCTAGACAGATCGTCACACAAAACTGACAAATGATAGTCCTCATTGAGATACATCAAATGGTTTTTGTAAAACACTTAATTGATAACTGTATATATTTATTTTGTATTAATGACAAGTTATAAGTGTATTTACAATAACTTTAATACTGTTTTTGATTACGATCTGATTGATCAAAAAATTATACAAATAAATCAATCAATCAGATCGTAATCAAAAACAGTATTAAAGTTATTGTAAATACACTTATAACTTGTCATTAATACAAAATAAATATATACAGTTATCAATTAAGTGTTTTACATATGGTCCTTCGAAAAGTAAATTCAAATTCAGTCAAAACAAGATCCTAAAAAACATCAATGATTTAGGGATCTTGTTTGATTGAATTTGAATTTACTTTTCGAAGGACCATATGTAAAACACTTAATTGAATAACTGTATATATTTATTTTATAAGTTATAATAGTATTTATAACAAATTTAATATGTTTTGATTATGTATTGATTGAATTGACTTTGATTTTTATAATTATCTATTTGATGATTTTTTGTTTTATATATCAAATATATCCGCATGCTTTGATTGGCGCGAACAGTTTTTAAATTTCTGAAATCGGATCAGGCGTTTTTGACAAAATGTCGATTAAAGTTCTAATTTTGACAAATGCCACAAAAATGATACTAATTTTCGCAAACTTTGACAAATTTTTAAAGTTAAACGAGTTGTCGAAGGGCCGTAATATTTTAGTATGATCTATAAGACTATAGTACCTACCGTCAAAAAATAATAAAAATCGTCGAATTTTTTTTTAACATTATTATAAGAAAACGGCCCGGCAGATCTCTACCAAAAACTAATCAGTATCTTTCAGTACCAATAACGGTTTTTGAATTTTTAAAATCGATTCAAAATGTTCTTTAGCCATATGACTTTTTTCCCCATAATAGCTGTAAGTTGCAAGATGTAAGTGGCACATTGCCTTAAAGCAAGTTACATGATATCTATCAAGATAAAAAAATTCATATTGAAAAACAACCCTACCAAAAAACATTCTTACCTAAAACTTCAATGCGATTCCCAACCAATATTTTTAAAATTGTTTTTGAATTTCTAAAATTGGTTCAGGATTGCGGGATAAAACGTCGATAAAAATATTTTTACTTTTCTGCTGGTTAGAAAGAAACGACTTGGCCGAACATTGTGCAAAACTAGCTGTAAGTGGAATTCTGTCTTAAGGCAATTAGGGCATCGTGCCTTAAGGCAAATTGCTGGAACTTCCCGTACCAAAAATTAATTTTTTTTTAAAAACGATTAACATTTTTGAAAAAAATTTACTTCGAAAAAAATAGATTTTTGAGAAACTATAAATATGATAAAAAATTACTTTTTTTTGAAAAAAAAAATTTTTTTTTGAGAAAAAAAATTTTATTTTGAAAACGAAAAATTTTTTTGAAAAAAAATGTTTTCTTCATTTTGACATATTTTGGAAATTCTAAACTTTTTTCCAAAGCAATCGCACTGCTTGAACTGCATAGAGACGAAATATCGAAGCGCGCAAGTGCCGCGCCGCCGTCTAACGCATAAGCATTGGTACGGATCCCATAGAAATGTAAAAAAAAATTATACTTATTGTTAAAATCTCTATAAAATATCTGATAATTTGATGTGCATATGTCTAATGATCATTTTTGACCGCCAAATGGCTCATTTTTTTTACTTTTTCTTCGATATCTCCGAAACGGCTAGACCTACTTTCATGAAAATTTTATCGATTCTTCATCTTGTCAATACAAGTGAAATGTTTTTCGAATTATTCAAATCGGACGCTCCGTTCTCTTTAAAACTGAGTTACCGTTTTCGGCACTTTTTGCCCCGTATCTTCGGAACGGCTAGACCTGCCTTCGCCAAAAACTAATCAGCACGTCTCCTTATCAATACAAATCAAATGTTTTTTGAATTATTCAAATCGGTTGATCCGTGTTCCCGAAATCGTCGACGAAAATTTGTATCCGCACATACATACACACACGTACATACACACACACACACACACATACATCCATTTTTTCTAAGGTATGCCAAAATGTTCAGAAACCTCTGAAACGTAAAGATATATAAAAATTTTCATTTTCGATTTTTTTGCGATTACTATAACTTACCCTACGGGAAGTTAATTAATCAACTCGAGCCGTTATTGACATACATCGAATAACCTTTAATTTTTTTAAATCAATTTAGACGATAAATTGTCGACGAAAGTTGAAAATTGCACATATACACATATACACAAATGATCTTTCCAAATTTAATCTAGATCGCTTCAGAATGACTTGAAACGTCGAAGAAACAGAAAATTAACAATTTTTTGACGAAAATGACTCCTTTGAGAAGTTAATTTTGAACTTATATAAAAGTGTCAATTTTAAACAGAGTATATAAAAAACATTTCAAAAGCAATAAATATTGTTTTCAATATTGATTCCACACAAGAAAATCCTTCTGAGTTAAGTTAATTTTAAAGTGTCTAGAAACCTTGAATTTTGAAGTTTCTACATATTTTTGTCCGGTGACCGCTGCAATCGTTATATCCTGACTCTAACGCATTTTTCGAGGCAAAATTGGATTATCGCGATACGGCCCACTATACAATTTCAATTAATTCACTATACTAATTCCAAATATCCTATATCACAGTTCAATGGAATCGATGCATAATTCAAAAAGCACATGAATATTTAGCAAAACTCTCCAGTCGTATCACAAACAAAGCGTTCGCTATCGGATATCACTCGACAAAGAGGAGATTCGCCCATTCAAATCATTCAAACAACCATTAATTTTTATTTTTCCCTGTTTGTCGAAAAAGCGAATCAAAATTGAAATCTGATTTGATGGCGGCGTCGACGATTATTCAGATATTTTGGGAAAAAATCAAGTAGGTTTAAAAACAAATCATTTGATGAAGCGGACAGAACAGAAGTCAACTGGAGGTGCTACATTTTGACCAATAAATAATTTTTAACTATATACATATAGTTACAGAACTTTCTGCAAAAATATATACAAAAAGTCTTGCCCTTTTTGTAATTCTAAAAAAACGGCTCGACCGATTGTCTCAAAAAACTAGTAATCGCGAGTCTATATCGAGTATCATCGAATGTGTTTTCGAAAAAATCGAAAATGATTTTTTTTAAAATATTTTTACGTTTAAAAGGTTTCTGAACATTTCGGCATACCTTAGATAAAATGGATTTATGTGTGTGTGTGAGTCTGTATGTGTATGCATGTGCGAATATATTTTTTCGTCGACGATTTCGAAAATACGGTTTCACCGATTTGAATGATTCAAAAAACAATCGATTCCCATTGATAAGGAGACGTGTTAATTGGCTTTTGGCAAAGGCAAGTTCAGCTGTTTTGGTTCAGCAGGTACTCAAAATTCTATTTTTTTCGCAGTTTTTGAAAACTGTTAAATTTGTTTTAAAGTTTTTAATTTTTCGTACGGGAAGTCCCAGCAATTTGCCTCAAGACTATCCTATGCACCAGTAGTTTTTATTGTGATCACAAACAATTCAAATTGACTTGAAACATAAAAATGGCAAGTCGCAAATTCTGGTGAAAACAAACTTCTCCTTTGAGAAGTTGAATAAAAAAAAAATATTGTGATTAATAATTAGGTTAATATAAGCTTAGAAGATTATGATGAATTGATGTAACAATGCAATTGGCTAATTAAATGAAAATAATTTAATAAATTATTTGTTTATGTAAATTCAATATTTTTATTGTCACTTTTATAGGATTGGAAAAAGATTTCTGACAATGTTTAATATTAAGGAATAGAAACGGCATCTTATATATACATATATATATATATATATATATATATATATATATATATATATATATATATATATATATATATATATATATATATATATATATTATATATATATATATATATATATATAAATATACATATATCCATTTCTTACCTTTGTTCAAATATAAAACAGTATTTAGTTAAACTAAATGCACGGCATTTGTCGTACACGAGTCATTTGTATTGAAACACTTGTGTACACAATATGGTCCATCATCATCATCACATATTTTTAAAAGACATCATAATTGCGTTTGTCATAGAATTGTATATTATACAAATATCTGCAGTGAAATATAATACTTGTGCTGTTATTAAAATTCTGTGATATTATCTGAATTAATTTAATTAATTGGCGTTTCGATGGATTATTCTGGAGAATCTTTATTTTCAACTAATTCCAATGATGGTGTTCTCTTGGAAATTGGAAGGAAATCGAAAGATGTGGAAGTGAATATGCAGAGGGATTCTGCAACAAAGTCTAGGACTTGTTCTTGGAGAGAAAAGGCACATCAAATTGAAATAGGTAAAATAATTTGTTGTATTTAAAAACTACTAAACAACTACTTGTACTAGAGTATTTAATAATTACTAGAATAAGCAGTGAAACTATTAAAGATATATTTTTAGTTAGTTTGTTTTTACATGTTATAAAAACAAATACTGTTTCATAATTTTCAGATCAACTATTTCTTATCATTATCATCTTACATTTTTTTATGAACAATATGGTTGGAATCTTTGATATTATTCAATGCCAATTATCGCAGTCATTATATTTTAATAATGTACTTAATCTCATTATTTAATTACACTTCTAGTCTTTCTCATTTGTTTAAGATCAAAATTGGTAAAAGTATGTTTATATGTATGAAAGACAAAAATTCGACTTCTCGTCGACGTTTTCAAAAAACGACAGTCCCGATTTCTTTAATGTATTAGTCTGTACTGTTTCTATAATGTAAAAACTGTAAAAGTTTATAAAATTTGTTGAGAAACCGTATGGATTAGTTTTGAAAAACATATAGCGGCCAAAAAATTAGTAAAAAAGAGCAAATTTGTTCGTTCACGTTTTCACAAAAACTTCTGAACCTACTTTGAAATGTAAAAAAATAGATATTTTCGAAATGAATTGTTGAAAGTTTTATCGTTACAATTTTACCGAAAGTTTTATCGTTTAATAGTTGCTAAATCTATATAAAAGTTGATTATTTACACACATCAATAAGTTTGTGCAATATGGTATTTCTAAGATACCATATGATTTGTAGTTATTAGCAAAATCAGTTGAAAAATTAAATAAATTTTACTGTATTTATATGCGATCAACTCAAATAAATTATTAAATATAATAACATCATTCTTCATTTATAATTTTGAACCAATAAAAATTTAAATAGTTTGCTTCAAATGTTCCATGAAGTTCTGAACTGAATTTAAAAAAATCTACATTACAATTGTATTGACTTAGATACTGTCATGCTTGTATACAAAGTATTTTTTTTAAGTAATTTTAAAAAATAGCTTTCAAAATTCTAACTAAATTGTATTTTGTCATTAATTGTAATTATTAATCACTAGTTTAGATCATAAATTGTTCAACGGTTTCTGAATATTGATACATTATTTTGGACAGATGCTAAATACACAGACAATACAGTGCGCAGATATTAAATAAATAAAAACATAAAAATTGTATCGCACAGCGCATAAAGATATATTCATCACAAATATGTGATTTTTTTTAAACAATTTTCAATATTAAAGCTATTTGAATAGTATGTTCATAACATATTAGTAGAACGTTATGGCATTTTGACAAATCAATATGTAAATTCAAACGCATAAAGAACTTAATTTTGGAACACTGAATCATCATAAAAAACAGAATATTAATCAGACATTTTATTTACTGATTTGTCATATTTTGACTATATTTTAGAACATCTATAAAGAGCTAGCTAATACCAAGTCTTCTCCCTAAATTTTGATTATTCTAGCCAAAGAATCACAATCGAAATATAAAAATCGTAACAATCGGAATATAAAAAAATTAATTGTTTACCGGCGAAAAAGGTAATATAGATCATGCATTTAGAATTTCTGAAGTCAATAAAATATCCTAAACTATATAAACTATGTTCTCTGAGCATATGGTTAATCTTGTACATTTATTTAACACTGATCATTAAATCATTTTATATACAGTGAAAAATGTTGACCCTAGAAAACTCGCTGAATCGTGTTTTATTATTCTAAATTCTACGTGTCCTTCTTGTTTGTTTACTATAATATTTATCAAAACTTAATTGACGTTTGTAAATATGATTTATCTTTTTAACTTGATTCCATCCTCCACAAATACACATCACAAAAATAGGATCATTTTTCTGAAAATTATTTTAAATAGTTGTATAGTTTTTTGATAGTTGTTTCATTGTATATATATATATATATATATATATATATATATATATATACAATTATAATTATTGTATCATTATCATCCAGATTATAAACGGTCAGCTTGCGATCGAGAGAGGACTAGAATGAGGGACATGAATCGAGCATTTGACCTACTCCGGTCAAAACTACCAATTTCGAAGCCATCGGGAAAAAAATATTCTAAAATCGAATGTCTTAGAATAGCAATAAGCTACATAAGACATTTGCAACAGATACTAGACAATATGGAAGATACTACGAGTCAGTTTAGATGTAGAGAAAGTACTAAGGATGTGGCTTGGCATTGTGGACATGTTATGTTTTATCATCACTAATATATTTTATTATAATTATAGAAATAAAATCTTAATATTAACTGAATTTCACTTATTATATGGCAGGGAATCAATATTTGTATGTAACAACTTATTTTATTTTTTTTTATTAAAAAAAAACTTTATTCAATATTCGAGTACTCGAAAAAATCCAACAGAGTTTTTTTTTACAAAATTACATTAACATTTTTTTATTCAACACATCAAAAACAAAAATGTACAATGTGCTACATTACTCAATATAAATATAGAAACTTAAATTAGATTTAAAATTTGATCTCATAAAATTACTAATTTATTTATTTATAGCATAAATCATTAAAACCAAAAAAACACATTATGCTATTAATATAAATAAAAATTTTAATTTATTATTAAAATTTACTTCAAAAATGTTAATAATAATAATTTAAAGATAGCAGAGATTTAACATTCTTCAAATAAACTATGCACAAATATGAAATATTGCAAAAATTTTATTAATTTATTTATTTATATGAATATAGTAAGAGAAAAACTAATATTTTTATTCGTAAATAAACTAAAAAATATAATATGCTATGAATACTACACAGAATATAAAATATTGCAAAATTTTTATTGGTTAATATACAGATACATCATGAATGCAAACAGATTATAATAATTGCGGCATTTAAATAATTGAAAGTCTACCAATATTTTTTATTTTTGTTTATTCAATGTACCAGGAATTATTCAGCATTTATATGCTCATAGAGATATATCATTCTGAAAATCAAAAAAACAATACATTACTTGTATTGACGAAATGAAGAATTTATTAAATATTTGGAAAGGCAGTTCTAGCTGTTTCGGAGATACAGAGGAAAAAGTAAAATAGATATTTGGTGGTCAAAAATGACCATTAGACATATGCTCATCAAATTATCAGATATGATATAGAGATTTTTTTTGGGTTTTGTACAAAGATTTATAATTTTTCAAGTTCACTTATACGGTTCGAAGAAAATTTCAAAATAATCAGAATTTTTCTTTTCAAAATTTATAAAAATATACAAAGTTTTATACTTTAAATATTAATTTTCAATTTACAATTCAGTTAAAAATGTATATGTTTCATATGCGTTACTGTAATGGTAAGAAATATGTCCTCAGTTGAATTCATTCGGCATCTCTTGTTAATGTAAACATTCTTAAGTGTTTTTAAACTTCTCGTAGGGTAAATTATTGTAATGGGCCGAAAATCGAAATTGAAAATTTTTACATTTCTCGACGTTTTGAAGGTTTCTGAACATTTTGGCATACTTCAGAAAAAATGGATGTGTGTGTGTGTATGTGTGTGTTTGTATGTATGTATGGATACAATTTTTCGTCCACGTTTTCGGGCGTACGGATCAACCGATTTGAATGCTTCAAAAAACATTCGATTCCTATTGATAAGGAGGTGTGCTGATTAGTTTTTGGCAAAGGCAGGTCCAGCAGTTCCAGAGATAAAGAGCAAAGAGTGCAAAAAATAATTTTTTTCTGTTTTTGAGAGAATGGAGCATCCGATTTGAATGATCTAAAAAACATTCAATTAGTAATGATTGGGAAAAGTGATTATTAGTTTTTGGCAATGGCAGGCCCATCCATTTCAAAGATACAGAGCTAAATGTGCAAGAAATGGCAGTTTTTGAGAGAACTAAGCGTCCATTTAAATGATTCAAAGAACTTTCAGCTTGTTTTAGCAAAATAATTGATTTTGGAAAAAAATTGTATCATTTTTTTTGTACATCGAAAATAATTCAGATTTTATTCTTAATTTTGACTAAAGTTCTAATATACTTTAATTACAAATAATTTCAATTCTGCAATTTATTTTATATAATTCTTATAAATATTAGACAATGTTACAATATTCATAATAATTTATTTGAAAATATTCAGTATTCCTCGAACATTTCGTTACGGTACGGGAAGTTCCAGCAATTTGCCATGCACCTCTAGTTATTACTTGTCTATTATCCAAACAAATTGTCAAAAAATCACTAACACTACTACCCCCGAAAGGCGTAAAACCCTTAACGAGATTCTCCTCTTCTACTACTACTCTAGTCGTCGTCGATATCAAAATATATCCCGGAGCGAAATAATTCACGACGTTCTGTGACATCTTGAAGTGATAAAATAAAATTGATCATATAAAACATTTCATTGTAAAAGTTTGCGACAAGCACTTAACTTTTCTGCACATTGCATTCCGGTTGATAGTTGCTTGAGGCGACGTTTATGAGGTTCTCAGTTGTAAAATCCGAAATTAAATGAACGAGCAAACATAAATTCTGATATCTAGATTATTCAAAGGATCGCGGTGGAATTGAATGGAAGATTCTTGACGACTTGTGAAAGATATAAATAAGGATATAATATAAAGGAATGTTGTGGTTTGTAATTTGAGTGTTCATTTTCAGCATTTTTGTAATAATTTAAACTAGTGGTTCATGGAATTGTGCCTTAAGGCAAATTGCTGGCACTTCCTGTAATAAAAATTTAAATTAATAAAAAGTTTTACAATTTTTTGAAAACTGACAAAAGTAGTTTTTTGAGAGTTTTGATATCTTTGAAAAAATTGATGTTCCTGAACAATCATTCGTTTTTTATTTTGAAATTTTTGAAGAAAATCCTGAAAAATAAGATTTTTATGTTTTTTTTTTTTTTTTTGAACATTTCAAACTTTTTTTTAAAGCAATCGTCTTTGCCAAAAACTAATCCACATCAATAAAAAGCGAATGCCTTTTGAATTATTTAAATCGGCTCTGAAAACGTCTACGGAAAATTGTATCCGCACATACTCACAAATATATATAAACACGAAATCACACATACTTCTATTTTTACTAACTTGCTAAAATGTTCTGAAACCTTTGAAACGCAGAGGTAAGTACAATTGCTACAATTGTAATCTATGGAAGTTAATAAATGATCTTTTTCAAAACTGAATTGTAAACATAAAATTATTTGTTTCAATTTTATAAGCAAGATCTCTAATTTTTGAAATTTAAAAAAAATGTGTATGTTTTGAAAATTTTTATAAAATCTAAATCATTTTATAATGGAAAAAAAATGTTTTTCATGAATTTAAAATTTTGAAATTTGTTGAAAATAGTTTAAATATATCGAAATTCGTTAAATCATTGATTTTTTTAAATTTCAAAAGGAAATTTTTTTTTGAGATTTTTTTTTAATTGATTTGATTTGTTCTGTTTTGAAAATCTTGAAAATTTTTGGATCTCCTAAGAAATTTCAAAAAAAAATCAAAATTTTAATTTTTTGAAATTATTTAAATTGTTATAAATTTAGATTTTTTCGAAAAATTAGAAATTTTTAGAGATTTCTAAAAAACTGCTTGTTTACTTGATATATATTATTTAACTTAAAATTTTCCGATGCCAGAATTATCAAATATTTGTCATTTTAGAATCCTGATTAAATGCGCAAACTTTTGTTAAAACTTGCCAACATGATTTAGATTATAGTATGATTTTTTAAAGAAAAATCTCTCAAACTCGACGGAATTTTAAAATTTCTAATTTCAAAGTTCGGAAAAATGTCTTTAATCAGAAGAACTTGTTGGGCCAATTGTTTTATTATATTTCTCTGAGGCCTTAAAAATTTTATTCACGGTTTCGGTTGAACAAAATTAATGAAAATTAACCTTAATAACCGAAAAATTGTCATACTATCACCGATGCTCTAGTTTGCGCTTAAAAGCTCATAATTTCCAAACCAATTGAAATATTTTTCCGCAAAGTTAAGGTCGATACAAATCACCCTGTTTTGGTTAAAGATTAAGGTCTGAGACACCCTACATATATTTATTTATTTATTCAATTATCGATATTTTTTTTGGACTTAAATACAGAAAATGTAGTTTCTACATCTGTACTAGGTACAGTACAGTACCTACAAATTCATTTGGAGAGTGTGTTGAAGAATATCTCATATTCATGTGAAATGTGGTCGCATATTTTAGTTGGCAAGCCAAAGAGTAGAATTAAATAATGAAGCTCAGAAAGTGCGCGGATATGTGTAGTACTTCCTTCCTATTTAATCCGGAACATTGCCGACAGATAATAACCGACGTGTAAGAGCATAATAACAGGCATGGACAAGAAATTCTACTTTTGAAGTAACTAACATACCATAAAAATCATAGTCAATAATATAACTTTTCATATAAACATGATCAATCGAAAAAGATGTTGATCGATTAATAAATATATTATTTCATTGCAATCTCTATGAGAAAATAAATATTATACATCAAATATACTTCAAGAATAATTAAACAATGATAACAATGTTTACAAATAAAATAATAAGCGAAAAAATCTATGAATCATTTGTAGAAATAATATTTTTTATACTTCGATTATTTTCATCAAATTCAACAAGATAAGTATGCTCAATTAAATAAAAATATACTCGATTAAGATTTTAAAGTAAAGTATATTCAATTGATTATATAACATATTAAACAACTTCAATAGAGTTCTCTATAATTTATAATCAATAATATATTAGTATTTCTAAAATAATTTCACAATATAATACCCGTTCAAAATAAAATATGTACGATACTCGTTCACAATAAAAATAATTCAGTAACGATTGACTTACAAGTATCAAACGGTGTATAAAATCTAATTTGATTTAAAAAAAACTAACACAAAAGAAGATAGAAAATTATATATTTATTCTATAAAATTGTATTATAGTTTAATTACATACCCATGAAGTGATCACTGATTATATTGACGAAAGAACTAACCTGAAACAAAAAAAAAACAAATTAATATAAGTGAAAAATGTTTAATATATTAATTTATATAAGAGTTGATCTATATTTTTAACCTTCCTTCAACAATTAAAATTACAAAGTCAATCAAGTTTTATTTTATTTTTAGTACTCTGTTGAAAATACTTGACAAATATTATATAAATAAATTGTTTGTTACGATATATTTGACAAAAAATCC